TGTCTAATTTGCCTGTGGCGACCATTTTTTTTGTTCAGATGCTTTTACACACCACGCACATAAAACGACAATAATTGCATTAAAAGAACTTATTTTTTGTATTTTTTTCTAAAGAACCTGGTCGGAACAATCTGTTCTACTAGCACAGTAACCGGCTATCCTTTCCTAAAATCTAGAAATTCTATTCTCTCTTAGACCGCCACTTTCGAATGCAGTGGTTTTTTAGTATTCACTCTGTTAATATTTTTCATCCTGAAAATTGTTAGATCTGTCCTACTCTTTGTTTGAATGAGTTTTCGAAATTATGGGTTTAAAAAATTATGTACATTTTTCTCTCTGAGTTAACTTGTTTCAAGATATGCTTATTATTGCGTCCTTTGAAAGCGCTAGGTTTTATTGAATTTTTATAAGGGGCTAGAGCTTTCAATGTTTGCCTTGGAATCAGAAAAATCAAACAGCTGGTCATCTTTCAAGCCGCAGTGAGTTTTCATGAGAATAATCAATTATAGGGAATTGATGAAATACAAACTTGGCTCTCATAATCAATTTCTTGACCCATTTAATCACTGCAATGGATTTTGATAAGTAATTTTAAATACCCAAAATCAATAATCCATTATAATCGATCATAACACATTTTTGCAATATAATCTGCAAATATAATCATTTTTGTTCATAAACTCCACAAAGTTTGCTTGCACATAGCTTGCTGTTTAATTAACTGCAAAATTAGAATCCCGAACAAGCAAGCTCATCCCCTTGTACAACCCGCTTTCATCTCGATGTTCGCCATCCTTGCTCGATAACCACACCTACTCTCCCCTTCCACGCCCCAAGGCTCTCTTTCTCTCCTTGTTCACTCACTCCCCAATCCCCTCCCTGTTCACCCCTCTAATCATCTCCCCCGAACAACCAGCCATTAAATTGATGGGAGAATTGATAAACGTATGGACTTGAGGCAAAAATCACAAACGTTTTCACAGGTCACCAAGATTTTTTGTTTTGCCGGGCTCAAATTCCATTGCAATTCAGAAATGTATCATAGATCTTTCATTTTTTGCAACCATGTATCATTCATGCTAGTGCCACTTTAACGATGTCCATCCATGGTTCATCTATGAATCATGGGTGCAAATTAAATTGATGTTTCATCGATGAATCATGACTGAAACACGGATGTCAGTTCTATGGTAAACCTATAAATCATCAATGAAAATTAAATTGATGTTTCATCCATGATTTATGGCCGAAACATGGATGTCAATTATCTATTTCATTCATGAAACATGGGCGCAAATTACTTTGATGTATCATGCCTTTCTCCAGGGTTGACAAAAATGCTTCTCATCGAATTTCGTTTATGGAAAAAAAATGCTTGTCGATTAGTATTTTTCCATCAAAGTAATTGAAAGACTACCACTTTTCCCAAGTCCACCAACCTTCGAAATCTTCGAAAAATTTTAAGATTTTTTGTTGAATCTATTTCGGCTTCGTTATTGAAGATAATTTTCGCCCTCCTTATTGAAAATTTATCTAATATTTTCGGAAAATTTTTTTAAAAATTTTTCCAGAACTCTCGTTTAAAAAACTCAATTATATAAGAAAAATGAAATTTAGGCTAACTTTGATTCAAACAAAAAAAAATAAATTATAAACTATCAATGAAAACGGGCTCATAACTAATAATCAACAGAGCAAAAAAGTTTAAAATTTTCTGATTATTATCAGTCTCAAAGCACTTTTAGGCAAACAGATAAAGTAAATTAACTCACCAAATTCACCGTCTGTGAATAGTGATTGTGAACTAGCAATCATCTGTTTTTGGTATAGAAAAATTGCAAAAAATTATAAAATTCAGTACTCAAGGGGAAAAATATAGAAATTACCGATGATTGACAGTTCAATGGAACTTGTGGGCAGTCAATGGAAACATTAGATAACATCAATAGAAATTTAAGATGAAAACAAAAGATCTATCGAACAGCCTCAATTTGAGTTTTCGCGAATTTAGTTTTTTCAAAAAAAAAAACATTTTGATGATTCTCTCAAGTTTCAAAGCAATTATAGGCAATAAACTGAAAACCATTGCTCATCAATTTGTTTTTCATCTTAGAAATAATTCATTTGTCAGTTAGAGCATTATTTTGTTGATTGCCTAAAGTTGCTTTCGAACTGATGGTCATAACAAAAAATTTGGATTTTTCAAATCCTTTTTCTTCGGTGAGTATTTTCAAACATTGCTATGTTGACCCATTTTTGGACTGACATAAACCTACAGGTAGATTTGCAAGATTTTAGAAACCGATTTTAATACAGACGACTCTAAAAATGTTAAAAACATCAAATATCAAAAAATCTAACATAAATTTATTAATAATTTGGAACATTCCAACACTTTGCTCGATACAAACTTTACACAAAGAGGAAGCGTAGCCTTGCATCTTTTGCGATACTGCGCCAGCTTAGCTTTGCAAGCTGGCGAACGTAGAAAAGAGGCGGATATAACTGAACAAAAAATAGTAAAAAAACACGAAGAACAAAATGCGCTTTGAACCATTTCTGGAACAATTTATAATTCACACTTAACTTTTGATAAGAATATACGCATGACCAAGATTCAAAGCAGAGGTTCGCATCACTTGCAGTATTACAAAAATAGCAGTGCACGCTATCAGGCAAGAAAAGAAACTAAGCAATTACATCCAAATAAAGCGAAAAAATGTTCGAAAAGAAATACAAAATTTCCAATTTTCTCCGGAGTAGTACAACCGACGGATTTTTGATAAAAATTGAAAAAACCTTCGAGCGAAAAAAATTGTTTGCCAGAACTCCCCCCCCCCCCCCCCACATGAACCACCAACTCCCACACCTAAACCACCAACCCCGGGCACCTAAAAATCTCCCAATCCCCCTCCCCACCTCCACTTTCAAGCAACTCTTTATTAGATACTGTTGGGGATATTGCGGGACTAATAGTAATTAAAACAAATAAACATAAAACAAATAAAAAAAAAAAGTAAAATAAACAGCATTTTAGTAAAGCAACATTAAAAAGAAAATTCATGTTTTTTTAAAAACTTTTAAATACTGGTAAAACTAAAATTTTTGGTTTCTCGATTAGTTTCAGAGCAAAATGATTTACTGGGCTCAGCTCTTTGTTTTGGTAATCACTAAAAACATCATGGGTCGGATGAGCAGCGGGCATGAAAGATGACTTTTAGCAACAAAATAGACTTTTTGAACTTATTCTAAGATACATAATTCAAATTCCCATTATAGTACATTTTAAATCAAACAATTTTACGAAGTATTTTTTGTTGGGCTAAGTAATTTTTTCTACCCACCACTCATCCGCCCAATCAAATCATATTGATTATTTTGAGTTCCGGCAGGATAGCATTATAGGACAGGATAATAGGATATATTCGAATGACGTAACGCTTTATTGATATAACTAATATTGAACAATGATCTGATAATTTCATGCACAGGCACATTTTTCGAGTTTTCAATCGAAATCTTATATCAATTTAACTTAAAACTTAGTTCAAACTTGAATGTGACATAGATGTTTTCATTAACTAAGGGTAAAGGCAAAACATAGTTAAAACAGAGTAAAACAATGTATTTGTGTTAGTAAATCCCTGAAGCATGTCAAAACAATGCAATAACAATGATACGTCTCTGAATTGCAATTGAACTTCAACCCGGGTTCTGAGGTTTTTGTTCTTACTGATATTTGTAACGAACTAATGAGCAAATTAAAAAAGAGCTAAAATTGAGCCTAAGGAAAAGATTTGAAAAATGTCATCGCAATAGTCTAATGCAAACAAATATTGTAAATCAAAGCGTTATCAAAACTTTGCACAAACAATTATTAAATAATTTGAACAGTTTTTTAAAGTTTTGTTGCTCCAAACCCAATTTTCAGCTTTTTGATAATTTCTTAGAAGCTGACAATACAGATTTTCAATATTTGATTACATTTTATCATTAGGAGGCCAAGACTGAGTTTTGTAATTTGTTAGCGGATTGCGCAACAGCTGTAAGCAGATTTTTGTGGAATGCGCAAAATTACCCAACTTTCTTTGATCATCTTTGCTGTCTTGGATCCACATTCAAAAAATTGAAATACTTTTTTGCTCAAGTTTGCTAAACAAACAGTCCAATATGTGGAATTGGCAACAAATTTTGTTGAATCTGGAAGATTTTGTGGCATCAACAAACAATTTTGTTTTCATGACAATAATACACTACAATCTGCTAACATTTGTTGAGTCCGCTTGCAAATCGCGGAATCTGCGTGCTTTTGGGGAATCCGGGACAACTAGCTATATTTGCTGGTTGCGAAATTCGCGACTATACTAATGTGCCGACAAAATTTACGTTACACTTGTTTGTACTCTAAATCCACGGATTTTTTGTAAAAGCATCTACATTTTGTAACATGTTTAAAGCATTTTTTCTGGATTCCAGTGACCTACAGACCTAAATTACCCGGAATGATTGATTGGCTGAAACAAAATTTCTTTTATTTTTTTTAAAAGTTATAAAATCAGATATGAAAACATCAACAGCGCATCTGAAGTTTTCCCGGAAATAATCAGTCATTTTCCGGTTTTCATCGATAAATTCACGTGATAAAGCTTAAATTCTCTCTGTCTTGTCTGATGATTCATGCTACTTTTTCATACTTCTTCTCAAAGCAAAGTTCGCGTATCTTTAGGGTACAAAAATCAAAAAGAAGGGCAGATTGGGCTCCTCTGAATAAACGACCCCTCAGTTTACCCATACCTACACCTTGGGGTGACATAATCACTTGATTTGCTGACGTTTTAAGCTTTCACCGTTGAATCGACCATTAAGTTCCAGGAGGTTTTATTCTACCACTGAGAATAGTTTAAAGTGCGCTAAATAGACAGCTCATAAAACAGCAAGTTAGAAAAATGAGCTATTTTTTTTGAGGCAAAAAGTGAAAAAAAAATTGAGGCAATAAGAGGAAGAAAAAATTAGATGGTTCCCAAGAGATTTAATCGAGCGATTATTTTACAGATAAATAATTAATTCTCAAACATTAATCACTCGGAATTCAGGAACTTCTTTTTGAGCTCATAATCATTGCTGCGCGTTTGTTCAAATTTTCTTCACTTTTTCCGTTTTGAGCGATTTTCTTCTGGTCGGAAGACATTATCGGATGATTTCTTTGTAATTGTTTCCGCATACTTCCCCTGCAACATATTCATCTTCTCGATTATAGGAAACAGTAATTGCTTTTCCCGTGAGACGAATTGCGTATATTTTACGGAAAATAATCAATGAGGCTGAAATTTCTATCTGTTGACGTTTTTACTTGAGGGAAGACGACACGAAAGTGATCCTTCTTTGAAACATCTGCCCTATTCGACCTTTTAACTAATATTTTAATACAAATAGGCGGTCGTCCTCTCCTTTTAAACCTAGATATCATACCATAGTCATCTTATTTGCATAAGGCAATTCACCATGCCGTTTGTTTGACGTTTTATTAAAACCAAATAAACTTAATCTTTTCAATTTTTTTTGTTCAATTTACCGAGTACCAAGATATCATTCTAGACCCTAGATGCATTATTGATTTAAACATTGAGCCTCCAGATATTTGATAATAACGAGCATCTAGTTGCCTGTGATCATTTAATTTTATCAGCTTCTTGTTTGATTACGTAAAAAAATGGAACTTTTCGATGCTCTGCCCCAATTTGCATCAAAGTAAGTTTCTTTACAAGGACTTGGTGATTTTTTGGATTTTTTTTATAAACTTGATTGTTTTTTTTTTAAATTGTTTCTACATGCCGTCAGTTACGGGTTTTCGCCCGCCTCCCTGCCCCCCCCCCCCCCTAAATCATCCCCTGCCGTCAGTAACCTTTTGTGTTTATACCAACTCAAGTTGAGCATGAAAAATTGTTTTGACAGTGAACAACTGATTGCTTTTTTTTGTCAAAAAAGTTTTGATTTACAAAAACTGGTTGAGTTTTCAAGCCAGCTTTTTTGATGATTTTCGGAAAAACTTTGTTTGATATTCTTCTGCCAAAAAAGCCATGTTAGTATGATAATTGTTCCGATTTTGATTTTTCGAGAATTGGAAGTGGTAGATATTAAAATCTCTGTTTGGATCAATTGAGCAATCCCCCCCTCCCCCGTAATGACCAATTGAGATATCTCCCTCTCAAGCAAAAACGATTAAACGCTACAAAAAGCCGTCAGCAAACGCAAGTAGATGAATGATGTGTTTATAGCAAGCAGTCAATTGACCGACTGAAGCTTATTTTATATGAGTAAAAAAAATTGGAAAAAAAATCGAAATTTATGAAAAAAAAACGACCATAGCTTCATCGAGGAAAGCGACTTACCAGGGTTGATGCTCTAGCCTTGTATCTGAATATCAAACACTGCTCTCCGCAGCACCTTAATATTGTATGCAATACATTTTTCTTCCTTTTAGAACAAAAAAAAGTCGCTTTATATGCCCCAGTTTTATTGATTCTTTTTCACTCTGATTGTAAAATCAAAAAATTTGGCGACTTTTTATAGATTGACCAACTTGATATTCCGAACTCTTCGACAGCACTAAAAAGGGGCCCAGTTCCGGCCACAGTTTTTGCGCCGCAGGCAAATTAAAAAAAGAACAGGCCGAAATAGACGTCTGTAGGCATTTTATGGATGAACATCTTTTACCGAAAACGTGCGTTTGTTTATGGCGCGTGCTCCACCCTCATAATTAAAATATTGGCGCCAAAAAATGCCTTTACAAATTTTTTAGAGTTAGCGAGCCAAAAATGGAGTACTAAAGTTGTACCAAAGGGAGACCTTTTGGGTAGTCAAGGGTTCGAAACCGCCTCCCCTTCTCCCTAACTGAACTACTGAGTGGAATATCTATGTAAATTCGAACTCCGGCGTCAATAATTTTCAGATGGTATAATAAAATTGTATAAAAGTAGCTATTTAAAAAGACAAAATTTGCCCGAAGAAAAAAAACACCGAGCACAATTTTTAATTCGTGGACCAAGCCAACATCCTCACTCCTTAAGTTGGGAGGAGGATGTTAAATTGACGTTAAGCTGCAATTTTTAGCCAGTCATAGTCGAACATTACACAGGCTCTGCTAACAAATTTTAATCCAAATTATTGATTGGGGAGGAAGGTCTTCTTTCTAAGTGGGGGGATGTATATTGACATGATACGCATCCTTTCTTCAAAAGTCGGAACACTAATTTTGAGAAATGATCAAATGGCCGCCAACACGTTTGAAAAAAAATCATAACCAGCGGTCATAAACTATTTGAAGTTTATTTGAACAGGTCGCAAACTATATTTTTTCATATTAGATATTGCTTTTGTGCAAAATTCAAGAGAAAATGTTTTCATCACCTCCTTCAGCAGAAACATTTGATTGCAGCTGTAAAATATCAATGTACTGAATTCATTATTGAATAAGTATTGGTACAATGCCGATTGCTGTGCAAGTAGCACAGAGTGTTCCGACCATAGTCTTTAAAAAACCACACACAAAAAAATTGTAGTTTTCACTCCTGGGTGTAGTAAAATGATCTGACGTAAAACCTTAAATTAGGCAAAATCAAAATTCATACTAATATAAGCAAACAGGAGAACCGAGAACATTTTTTGAAGGAAAATGACAAGAAATTTTTTTTTAATCATAAAAAAATGGAACTTTTTTTTCAAATTTTCTTTTGCAGAAAGTTTTTGAATTTTCAAATTTTTTGATTCACAAAATAGCTTTAAAAATCTCCAGAATCAACTTTTACTCGTGTTAATCTAAATTTTAGTCTTCTTAGGCTACTGCAAACGGCTTAACTTAACCATGAATAAGCGTGCTCGCTCAATTTACTAGCTCGACGAAAAAAAAAGTTTCAAACCAGTTTTTCTCAACAGTGCAAAAACGCATTCGAAAACTGCAAAACTTTCTAGTAACATTCGAAGCACTAGTGGTGTTCCAGGGAAACTTTTGAAAAACTGTTCGTTTTATCGAAATAATTTTTTATTTTCTGGGTTGAAAGCAAATTGTGGTCGAATGGTTAATTGATTTTTGACAAGTGGGTTGGATATGGAGAGTTTTTGGTGAAGTAAAGTCTATTTAGTGGATGTTTAATGATTTTTTGAGAGATATTGCGTCTTTAGGCTAAATAATCAAGTCTAAATCTGTCTTTAGGCCTATATGATATTTCCCTTTTGGGGTAATGTTGGGTATCAGTTGAGACGATTTTGTTCATTTCGTACTAAAGGACAGGAGAGTGTTGTAACTTTTATCTAGTATTTATTTAAGTTGTCAAATATAAGGATTCCGTTTATTTTTAACCTGGAGGTCTTGAAGTTAAAGTTTTAGATCTATTTGAAGTTAAGAGTCTGTCGGCCTATGATAGTGGTGTCGGAATGGGGTGATGTTTGAAACGACTTTCATTGATTGAACTTGAACTAGTTAGTTCGAGATTGAGAGTTAAAGGTTCTGCGGAAACAATTATCCAAGTATGATGAAAATATGTTAGACAATCAGGGGTGTTTCTGAAAATCTACTTTCTTTTATAACTTAGGTTGTGGGATAAAAGTTTTGTAATAATTTTTTGGCTGATTTGTAAGAAGCGATGATTGGTGTTGTTGTGATTTTTTTCTGTTTCGGGCAATAATTTTTTTCTTCTAATTTACGACTATTCCTTTGTTTTTGAGGTATTTGGTTCTCAGGATTTGTTAAATTTTTTTGTGATTTTTTTTGATGGTTGCTTTTTGATGTGTATCGGGTCAGAATGATAAATGATCGGAATTTTGCGGGTATTTTTGTTAATTTCTGTGGGTTTTTCAACAATATTTAAACTCTTGAAGGAAAATATTTGTGTTAACTCTCGAGGAACGTACTCTTTTGGATAATATGGTACAAAATTGTTTCTATGGTGGTTTTTTCTTTTTTGTTGGGGTCGATAAGTTTATAAGTAACATCTGTGGGTTTTTCGATTATTTGAAATGGTCCTTTTCTGATAGGTTGCAATTTTTAAATATTCAATTTTGGGTTATAAAATTTGGTTTCGTGATATATGTTTCTTTTTTTAAATTAGTTGCTGGTGTGATACGTGAATTTTTTAAGGATTGAACTTGTTGTTTTTGTACTAGCTTTCTGGCAATTTTTTGATACATTCCGTTATGTTTTTTTATCTCGCTTTAAAATACTTTCTGTATGTGTACCATGGGCCAATTTTAAAATTTGTGGATGTCGAAAATGATCTGCGTCATGTGTATGGAGTGTTAAATTGTAACAAATTGAATTTTTTGTAGGTTGGCATTAATCTTGAGCATTTTTTGAGGATTTTGCTGTGAATATTATTGGTTTACATGGTTTTTGATAGAAAACCATTTCAAATGGTATAAATCGAAGAACTTTTGTTGCTTAAGAATTACAGGCTAGTGGGAATAACTTTATGTCGGTTGACCATTCTGTATAATTTGTGTCATTTCCATTAATAATACAACGGAGATACTCTTAAAATGAACGGTTCATGCCTTCTACTAAATTTTGTGTCGATGATGAGTTTCGATTATGAAAAAAACAAAAAATTGGAAAAGTGTTACAAAAATTTAAAAGAGGGTTGAAATGACTACTTTAAGATAGAGAACAGTGTTTGAGAGAAACTTTTGAAAAGTGACTTGTTTCGTCAAAAAAAAATTTTAGATTCTGGGTTGGAAGCAAATTGTGGTCGAATTGTTCATTGATTTTTGACAAATGGGTTGGGCTGGATATGAAGAATTTCTGGTGAAGTAAATACTGGGGGTTTCAGGTATGAAAATCTTAGTTTTATTTTTATTTAGTGGATGTTTAATGATTTTTTGAGAGATATTGCGTCTTTAGGCTAAATGATCATGTCTAAATCTGTATTTAGGCTTATTTGAGATTTTTCTTTCGGGAAAATATGTGTTTAACTTGAGACAATAGTGTTCATTTTGTACTGAGTGATAGAAAAGGGTTGTAACTTTTGTCTAATATTTATTTAAATTGTCAAATATAAGGATATTGCAAATTTTTGACCTGGAGGTCGACAAGTTAAAGTTCTAGATCTATTTGAGAATAAGATTTTGTCGGCTAATGATAGTGGTGTCGAAATGGGGTGATGTTTGAAACAGTTTTGATTGGTTGAACTGGAACTAGTTAGTTCGAGATCGAGAGTTGTAGGTTCTGCGGAACTATTTATCCAAGTATGATGATTATATGTTAATTAATCAGTGGGGTTTCTTAAATTCTACTCTGCTTGATAGCTTAGGTTGTGGGATAAAAATGTTGTAATCTTTTCTTGGTTGATTTGTAAGACGCAATGATTGGCGTTGTTGTGATTTTTTTCTGTTTCTGGCAATGAGTTTTTTTCTTCTAATTTACGATTATTCCTTTGTTTTTGAGGTATTTGATTCTCAGGATTTGTTGTATTTTTTGTGATTTTTTTTGATGGCTGCCATTTGATGTGTGTCGGGTGAGAATGATAAATGATCGGAATTTTGCGGGGGTTTTTTTTAATTTCTGTGGGTTTTTCAACAAAATTTAAACTTGTGAAAGAAAATAATTGTGTTAATTCGCGAAGAAAGTACTCTTTTGGATAATATGGTACAAAATTGTTTCTATGTTGGTTTTTTTCTTTTTTGTTGGCGTCGATAATTTTATAAGTAACATTTGTGGGTTTCTAGATTATTTGAAATGGTCCTTTTCTGATAGGTTG